AAATTGGTCTAATCCCATCTAGCTTTCAAAGTCTCTGTTGAAAAATCAAGATGCTGTTCTTTTTTTTTTTTTTTATTGGTCTTTCGAGACAGGGTTTCTTTGTGTAGCTTTGCGCCTTTCCTGGAACTCGCTTTGGAGACCAGGCTGGCCTTGAACTCACAGAGATCTGCCTGCTTATGCCTCCCGAGTGCTGGGATTAAAGGCGTGCACCACCACCGCCCGGAAAGATGCTGTTCTTATGGGCCTGCCTTTATATGTGAATTGGTCTTTATTTCTTGCAGCTTTCAATAAAAAAAAAATTGTTCAATACATTTAGTGTTTGATTATTATGTGATGCAGGAGTTTCTTTCCTAGTTCTTTCTATTTGGTATTCTATATGCCTTTCAAACCTTGATAGAGTCTTTTCATAATTCTTGAAACTTTCTTCTATGATTTTGTTGGAAATGTTTTCTGTGCCTTTGACCTGTATTTCTTCCTCTATGTCTATTATTCATAGATTTGATCTTTCTATTATGTATCAGAGTTCTTGCATGGAGTTCCTTTTTTTTTAGATTGTTTTCATTGACTGAATGATCCAGTTCCTCACTTTGACCTTGAGACTTGATATTCCCTCTTCTTCATGGTCCCAAATCTTCTGGTCAGGCTTTTCTCTGAGCTTTTTGTTTGACTGAGATTCTTCAAGTTTTATAATATTTTGGCTTTTCTTCAGTGATTCTCTTTATTAAATTCTATTTTCATGTCTTGAATTGTTTTCAATACATCATTCAATTGTCTGTATTTCTGTGGTCTTTATTAAGTTATTTATTCAGATCCTATTTGAGTTCATTGAACATATTTATAATTGCTATTGTGAAATCATTATCTTAATCAATTAGATTGTTTTTCTCAGAGAACATTACAATGAGGGTAATAATTTCTTAAGGAGACATATTTTCTTTTTTCTTTTAATTAAGAAATGTTTTATTCATTTTACATACCAACCACAGATTCCCCCTCTCTTCCCTCCTCCAGATCCCCAAGCCTTTCCCCCCAACCTATCTCCCATTCCCTCTTCTGAAAAGGTAAGGCCTCCCATGGGGAGTAAGCAGAGCCTAGTACATTCAGTTGAGGCAGGTCCAAGCCCCTCCCCCTGCATCAAGGCTGGGCAAGGTGTCCCACCAAAGGTAGTGAGTTCCAAAGAGCCAACTCATGCACCAGGGGTAGATTCTGATCCTACTGCCAGGGGGGGCCTTAAGCAGATCAGGCTACACAATTGTATCGCTTATTCAGAGAGCCTAGTCTAGTTCCATGAAAGGTCCACAGCTATTGGTCTAAAGTAAATGAGTTCCTACTAGCTTGGTTTGGCTATCTCTGTAGGTTTCCCCATCATGAACTTGATGCCCCTAGCTCATAGAATCCTTCTTCTCTCTCTTTGACTGGACTCCTAGAGCTCAGCCTGGTGCTTGGCTGTGGATCTCTGCATCTGCTTCCATCAGTTACTGGATGAAGGCTCTATGATGACAGTTAGGGTATTTACCAATCTGATTACTGGGGTAAGCCAGTTCAAGCATCCTCTCCATTATTGCTGTGAGTCTAATCTGGGGTCATCCTTGTGGATTCCTGGGAACTTCCCTAGCACCAGGTTACTCACTATCCCCATGATGACTCCCTCTATCATGGTATCTCTTTCATTGCTCTACCACTCTGTCCCTGTTCCAGCTCAACCATCAAGTTCCCTTATGTTCTCATCCCCCATCCCCTACCTTCTATTGCCCCCCCTCACCCCCAGTTTACTCATAGAGATCTCATCTATTTCCCCTTCCCAGGGTGATCCATACATCCTTCTACAACCCACAGCTCCAGAGAAACTAGGAAACAAGGAGACATATTTTCTTAGTTATCCATGTTAGTTTTGTTTTTGCAATAGAAGATGGGGATCTGGAATTAGGTTGGTGTTGGTTTTTCTTGGTATGAGTATCTAGTTTCACCTTTGTTAGGTGGATATTTGGATCTTTGTTTGATGTTACCCCCCAACTTGCTTGGTTGTGGACCAGCTGAATGGTTTTGGATTTAGTCTTGCGACAACTCTCTATTGATATGAGAATGAGGTATCTTAAGGAGTCCCACTTCAGCTAGGGATATGTGCAACTTCTGTTGTTAAGCAACTGAGCTCAAGAACAAACCTTCTTTAACCTTAGAAGATTCTTGCTTCCAATCTTCAGATGTCTGTGGAGGGCCAACAGGGTTCTACAGATGGTCCTTAAGTAGCATAAGATGGGGTCACTCTCAATAATAGTGAATGGTACTCTATGGGACACCAAACCATCATCTTCAGGCAGAGGACGGTGAGTTTGCAGTTAGGCTAAGGGAACCCCATCTGGAGTCTGGGGCACAGGGCACCATGCTGTCATGGGGTACCTGGTGGGTGGGGTGGCAGACTGGCTCTGGGGTTCCCTACCTGGGATTCTAAGAATCAGAGATCCTTGCAGTCCTGGAGTGCTGAGGCTGAGGGGCATAGCTGAAGAGTAGATGGACTGGGTCTGGGGTATCCCTACTTGAGGTTTCTTGTCATAGGACTCCACACTGTCCCAGAACAGCACAATGAGCGGTGTGGCTGGCAGACAGTGGACAGACTGGCTCAGATGCCACTACTAGAGTCATAGTCTCAGGATGTCATGCTTTCCCTGTGAAATGTGGTGGGTAGGGTAGCTGGTGAATGGCTGGGTGATGTGCTTGATCTGAGGGTCCCTACCTGGGTTCACAGTCCTAGAACATTATGTCCATGGGCTGATAACTGGTTGGGATGGCTGCCAAGTAGGCAGACTGCCTCAGGGGTGGGAAAATTCGTGCATGGGGTCCAGTTCTTAGAACTCCATGTGTTCCTAAATCATTATTGTGGGTGGGGTGGAGGGCATGGGGAAGGACAAACTGGGGATCCATAACTGAGATTCTAGGTATATTCCATCCATTTTTAAGAATAGAATTGTAGAAACATAAATGTGCATGAAGATACTTTGTCTGATTCTGTGGATGGGAACCAAATCCTCAAGATCTAATTAGCTTTTTAATAATTTTTTTGAGATTATAGTATAATTACATCATTTCCTGCTTCCCTTTCCTCCCTTCAAACACTCACATATACACTCCCCTTGCACTCTTTCATAGTTATAATCCATTTTTCTTGAATTGTTGCTATATACATATATGTGTATGTATTTATACATAATACTCATAAGTACATGAATACAATATGCTTGGTCTGTCTATTGTTACATATACTTTTCAGGACTGACCATTTGGTATTGGACAACCAATTGGTTGGTGTACTGTTCCTGGGAAATACTATATCTCAGCATTCTTTAGCTAACTGTAGTTCTTTGTCAGGGTTGAGGCTTCATGAGTTTTCCCCCATCCACATTATCATGTTCTATTGGTGTCATTCTTGTTCAGGTCATGTTTTAAGCAGCCATGTTTGTGAGACTTCATGGGTGGAAGTTCTGACATTTCTAGAAGACACAATCTCACATCAAACTCCCTGTTCCTCTGGCTCTTACAATCCTTTTACCCCCTCTCTTGCAATGATCCCTGAGCCTTAGGTGCAGGAATTGTGTTATAGATGTATCAGCAATGGGCCAAACAACTCTACATTTTGATCAACTGTGGTTTTCTATAGTGACTGGAAACCTAGTCATGTACCTAGGACTAGTGAAGTAATGAATCTTGGAGGAGAACCTACAACCTCCACTTTACTAAACCAGTAGTATCCTTAACCAAAATTTAAATACCTGTCCTTATACCCACAGATAAATGTTGTCTTCCCCTTCTCCTCAAGGAAATTTTTCTTTGAAATAGACAGAAACCATTACAGAAGACATAGTTATTGTAGCAGAATAGATACATTTTAATTTTCAAATGTATCAAATGATGAAAGGAGCCTGGATTCATGGTAACTCTGATGGGGTACAAGGAGGCCATACATTTGCCTACTACTTGAGTTCTAGATATTATCACAAGTCATAAGCTGTACAGACAACATGGACTAGAGTACATAAAAGGATTAAGAGGAAGGGCATCAATGAATGATAAAGACAGGGTCTGATCTGGACTTTGAATTCTATGATTGGGGTAGAAAGTAAGATGTGAGAGGATGTAACAGCTTGACAGAGGCACGCAAATTATGTTGAGGTATTAAGCACACCATTTTAACTAAAACGGAAATTTAATGTAAGATCATACTAGAAGATGGTGTTTGGGAAGACTATAATGAATTAATTTCCATTTTTAAAACTCAAGAAATAATCAAGTAACAAGTATTTCTAGTAAAAGAAACATTTCAATACCATCATCTTTATGTATTGGCAACCGCAAATCTTTTTCAACAACTCCTGGATGTCAATTTATGCTACAGAACACTAAGAGGGTAGAAGCCTGAGAAGGAACATTTCAGGGCCCATACATTCTTAAATAAATTTATCTTATAACCATTACTGGAATTCATTCCAAAGAACAAGTGTGCACACAATATTCAATATTCAAAATGTGGCCCCTAAAGAGTGAAGGTCCATTAGCACTGACCACAAGAGTTACATGCAAATGATTCCAAGAAGAGGGGTTTAAAAACAGAAAAAAAATGTGAAGTGGTTTTATTATTTGTTTTCCTGCAAGAAAATTATCTTATGTCAGGAATGAAATAAGTGCAATAAAACTTAACTGCAGCACCTGAGCAGCGCTGTGTGCTTGGGAACTGCCAAAAAATGAAATTAAGGGAATGAATACTCCCTGTGCTGGTTGTCTCCACCTGACGGCTAAGGCACATCATTGTTTTATCACACAAAACAGGAAAGGTGGTAGCAGTGAGATACTAAAGGAAGTGAGTCAGTAGGGGAGGAAAGCTGGTGGTTTACTGTTTAGTCACGTACATCCTAGTAAACACTTTCTACCTGACAAACCTTGGGATTACCTCAGTCTTAAATGGTTTAAAAAGCCAACTGAGGCTCTGCTGAAGCAGTACTGAAGACATCATGAGCAAGCTCATTCTTGTCACAGGTGAGTTGGCAATCAGACATAAAGACTCAATGGTGCCTGTCTTCTTTTGTTCTCAGGATCTGACAACCATGAGGCATCGTCACACTACAGCTCTATGCATTACTGTTCTTCTTTCATCATTTCAAATTTTCTTCCATCATTCAGGAAGTCTGGTTTTCCTAACCTCACGGCTGTGATAACTCTTCTTCTGCCTTCACTGATGACACGGGCATAGCCTGAAAAGTGGCTCATTTTTAACAATACTTTTCTGCTGGTTCCCATTTTGTCCAGACATTCATATTCCTATACTATCTGCCTTTAATTGGCATTATATTTATTTACTTATTTACTAGAACTAGCTTTTACAGAGAAGAAAATCAGTAGAAAGTTAAGATGCAGCTATCCTAGTTGTCTTTATTCTACTGTTTTCAGATTTATTACTCGTTTATCCTCCATAGGTCTGCTGCACTGATGGAGTAAAAGTGTTGCTCACAGACAACCATTCAGAGAGATTTATTCGGTAGTGGTTTTGAGCCAAGTCATTGAAATCTTCCTAGTAGTTCTAAATTTGTGCTTTTTAAACTTGGTTAAGCTTCAGAAACTTTTTCAGATGAACACTGAAGCTCAACACATAAAAGACTCAGAAGTGGTCTGGTTACATGATGGTGGTTCAGGCCTATCATTCCAGCTATCAAGAGACATGGGAGAAGGTTCTCTAGTTCAAGGCTGGTCTGGGCTAATTAGTAAGACATGCTGTCTCAAAACCTGCTCTGTTGAAGCCAATGAGAGGTGCCTGGAACTTCACATCTTTGTTCCTCTAGCAAGGTCTCTTCAAAGATGCTTCAAACAACTCAGACTGTGGGAATACTGTTCTCTGCTTTGGTGGATGGCTTGACTGTCAGAAAGCTGGGCTCAAACTCTGGAAGGTGACACACAGTCTAAAGGGGTGATTACTAAGTAAAGGAAACTGAAGTAATTTCAGACAGTATTAGTTCTGTGAACTTTACATTCAGTAACAATTAATTAGGACACAGAAAGTGGACAAGGATGGCCATTGCCATTTTCCACTAAGTCATATGAGTAGATTGAAATGTTTGTTCACTGAAAATGCCACCCCTTGAAATGGCTGCAAAGTTTCACTTGGGCTGTTCCAATCTATGGCCAGTAGATTGGCCCTACTGCGTTGGAGTTTGATACTCAAGGATTCAGGCAAATGTTTCACAGTAAATGTTTGTTCTCTCTATCTCTCTAGGTTTGGCACTTCTGCTGAATTCTCACCTGGGTATGTCATGACTTCACATTTTATTGTTTACAAAACCTATTCCCACCATAAGCCTCAAATCTCTAAGAGTTACTTAATGTACTTTCTTCTTATTTGGGATTTTTAAATTAAACTCTCATATGACTTTATTTGAAAAAGTTGTCAAGAGATAAACCAATGAGGGAAAGAGATAGAATTTCACTGTTGGGAGTTGACTATTTCAGCTCAGCTATCAGCGTCGACCTCTGTGGTGTGCCCACCTTAGCATTAACAAGCCAGCTCGTGCTGAGCATCACAGAAACAGTGGCATGCCATCTAACTAGTCTTCTAACTTATCCAAGATTCAAAAATGAATGTCGCAGTTACAATAATCAACTTCAAGTCAGTGCCTGGTGTCTAAATTGCAATGTCTGGACTCAGGTTACATTATCACTTCCCAGGGAACAGGTGCCTGAGGCCCAGCAAGGGAAAGAGGCAGGGCCAAACCGTCAACGGAGTTCACTACCATCTACATCAGGCCACTGTTCTTACTCACCGTCCACAGGTTCTTCCTACCAGCTGATGTGCTACTATAATAATGTGGCCCGGAACAGGCCAAGACTGGGAAGTTTCAGTCCTGCTGATATTGACCCCTGCCTGTGTTCTTACCTCATCTATGCCTTTGCTAGTATGCGGAACAACAAGATCACCATGAAAAGCATGAATGACTTCACTGACTATCAAGCTTTAAATGCCCTAAAAAGCAGGTCAGAGAATGGCAGCAGACTGTCTGATTTTGTGTCTCTTGCGTTGATAGTTGCCACATGTAAATGCTTCTTTCAATGTAGTTCAGAATCCATGGGTTTGGGATGAGGACCCAGCCAATGTCATCAGTTTTTATTGAAATCAATTACATATAATTATTACACACATGAGTTTTGAATGCTGCCTACATTTAGAATGGTTCATGACCTCACTAACATATCTTTACTTCACACACTTACCTTTTTTGTGGTGAATGTTTTTTACACAAAGGTCTCTTGAACTTTTTCTTCCTGTCTCACTGAATTTTTTATTAAAATATTCTTGAATTTTTTTCAATTTTTTAGTGAAAATAAATTCTTCTCTCATACAATACATCCTGACCAGTTTCACCTCCTTCCACTCCTTCCAGCTCTCCTACATCTCCCCTCTCCCTCAGATCCATTCCTCTTCTGTTTCCTCTTCAGGAAAGAACAGGCCTCCAAGAGACAACAGTCAAATGGGACAAAGCAGGATACAATAAGACAAGACAAAAGGCCTCATATCGAGGCTGGACAGGGCAGCCCAATAGGAGGAAAAGAGTCCCAAGAGCAGTCAAAAGAATCAGAAATATACATGCTCCCACTGTTAGGAGTCCCACAAAAGACACCAAGCTAGCAGCCATAGCATAACACATATGGTGAAGACCCCAGCAGGCTGTGCTTGCTGCTTCAGTCTCTGTGAGCCCATGTGAGCCCATGTGAGCCCATGTGAGCCCATGTGAACCCTGCTTAGTTGATTCAGTGGGTCATGTTCTTTCTCCTGGTGTCCTTCATAACCTCTGACTCCTACAATCTTTCCTCTCCCTCTTCCTGGGGATTCCCTGATCTCCTAGGGGAGGGATCCAAAGGAAACTTCCAGTTTAGACTCTCTCTGCATAATATCTGGTGGTGGGTCTCTTCACTTGCCCCCATCTGCTGCCAGAGGAAGCTTCTATGATAACAACTGGATAAGGCACCAACCTAGGATCTTGTCCATTGGTGGACACTTGATGGGATTCCATATCTTGGATCTTATTATTCAATGTTATGAATACTATCTGAGTGCTGTATCTTCAAGACACTGATTTCATTTTCTTTGAATAGTGACGTTGATGAATCATGTGCAATCTGTCTGTATTTTGTGAGGAATCTACACGGTGCTTTCTCTAGGGCTTTTGCTATTTGTGTTTAAGTCAATAGTATTTTGGTAATTCTTTATACATCCTTGAGGTATTAGTTACCTTTTGATGTTAGCCATTCTAACACGTGTTAGGTGATAAGTCAATGTGGTTATAGCTCTGATTAGCAATGGTGTTTAGGGTTTTTGTGTTTGTTCATTTGTTTGTTTTCATACACGTACTCTTAGGCTTTTACCTTCTTTGAGAAATGTCTAATCAGATTTCTTCTCATTTTTAAATGATGATTTCTCTTCCAATTTCTGATTTTTTTGAATGCTAACTCTTTCTCAGATGTATGGATTACAAATATTTTCTCCCCTTCTAAAGTTCATGGGTGGTTTTATTCATTTTCATTTCTTCTGAAGTAATCACAGAGAGTAACTGGTTTCATTATGGCAACTCACACATTTACACCATAATATTTTGTGTATATTTATCCATGTCCTTCCTCCTTCTCTCTCCCATTCCCTCTCTCTCTCTCTCTCTCTCTCTCTCTCTCTCTCTCTCTCTCTCTCTCTCATCTTTGTCCCCCCACTAAGTAGTCCACCTTCTACTTTCATGTCTCTTGTATTCTATTATTTCCATTTTTCTCTGTCCCTTAAATTCCTTTCCTACATTAATAGTCACGTTTCTATTTTTTTCTTTTTCCATTTCTGTGTGTGTGGTGTGTGAGTGTAAGTGAGTGTTTATATGCATGCCTTTATGTGTATTACCACACATGTGTGAGTGTACCTGTGAATGTCCATGCATGTGGAGACCCAAGGCTGAAGCAGGTCTCTCAATTAAACCCAGAGCTCACCCATATGCCTTTTCTCCCTAGCCAGCTTGCTCCAGGGATCCCTTTCTGCCTTCTGAGGCTGGAATTACAGGCTAGCCACTAAGCCTACCTGGAATTCATGGGATCTAGAGATCCAAACTTTCTCTGCAATTTCTTTAAAAACTTATTTAAATATCTTGTCAACCTCATTTCTATTTTTAACACACACACACACACATACACACACACACACACACACACACACACACACACACACATACACACACACACCCCTAGAGTCCACATATGAGAGAAAAATGTGAGGCAAAAAATCTAATTGATTATATATTCAAACTTTGATTTCTCGAATTTTGAGCAGTTATGGTAAAAGTAGATAGTGTCATAAATATCTACCCTGAAACACATAAAACAGGATACTTTCAAACAAGTATACAGATGTTTCCAATTTCAGTCATAGAAACCTCTGTTATAAAAAATTATTGCAAAAAAAATTATTGCTAAAATTTTCATAGATCAGTTATACGGCTTTTCATATGAGGGGTCGTATCCTTTTCTTTATTATATTTTCATTATTAAAAAATTTAAATATATTTTGATCATATTCTTCCCTTCCCCCAAATCCTTCCAGATCCTCTCCCCTCTCCCTGCCTACCCATTTTTTTTTCTTTTTCAAAAATAAAAATACAACCCCCCCAAAAAAAGAACAAGAAAACAAAATAAAACACCAAAAAAAAAAAATCAAACTGTAACCAAATAAAAAAATGTGGATTCCATTACATGCTGGTCAACTACTCATGAACATGAGGCCTGTACTGGAGTGGTTGATGTACTCAGATATTTCTGTGTAAGAGAAAACTGATATTCCCTCTCCCAGCAGATATAATGACAGCTCAGTTGTTAACCTTTGCCCTAATGGCTAAGTTTTCATTCATTCGTTCATTTTTAATATAACAAGATAAAACAAAAGCTATATCAAAGTTGGACAGGACAGAGCAAGAGAAGGAAAAGAGCACAAGAGAAGGCACAAGAGCCAGAGACTCACTGGTTTGCACACTCTTAATCCCGTAAGAACACTAAATACAGAGGACCTGGTGCAGACCCATGCAGGCCCTGTGAATGTTTCTTCAGCCTCACTGAGTTTGTATGAGCTTTGCTCATTTTGATTTAGAGGGTCTTATTTTCTTGGTGTCCTCCATCCCCTCTGGCTCTTAAATACTTCCACGCCCTCTTCCATAGGGTTCCCTGAGCTCTGAGGGGAGGGATTTGATGGAGACATCCCATTTAGGGCTGAGTGTTCCAAGGTCTCTCGCTCTCTGCATAATGTCTGACTGTGGGTTTCTGCATTTGTTCCCATCTGCTTTGGGAGTAAGCGTCTCTGATGATGGCTGAACACGGTGTTCGTCTATGAGTATAGCAGAATATCATTAAGAGTCATTTTATTGCTATTTTTCTTCTTTTATATCAGTATTATTTGGTTTTACCCTAGATCCCTGAGCTATCTACTCTCAGGTTTTGGTTACCTGTCAGTGTTGGTAAGAGTTCCATCTCAAAGAGGGGGCCTTAAGTCAGATCCATTATTAGTTCGTTACTCCCACAAGCTTTGGGCCATCATTGCCCTAGCTTATCTTGCAGGCAGTACACCATTATAGATAAAGTGTTTGTGGCTGGATTGACGTTTACATTTCTCTTTTTGAGAGTGTGCAGAGTACATTCCTGTACCAAAGATGCTGCAATATAGGGGGTGAAGGTTCTATGTAGGCACCAGTTAGACATCTCCATGTTCAATAAGTTGTGTAGCTGTTGTCTTCAGCAATGAGGTCTTGCTGTCAGTTTGTGGAGAGCAACCTATATAGTCTTCACATAGCCTGAGTTGTTTGGGGATTCTTGTAGTGCTCCTTTGGCCAACAACTCAATAGCTATAACCCAATCCTGGTATTGGGAGCTTCGTTTAGTGACAAGAGATGGTTAGTTGGGACTCCCCCATTATTCAGCAATTTCATTTAAATTGCCTTCACATATGTATATATTTTAGGAAATTTCTACTGTATTAGGTTTCCATACTACCACTCAAAATGCCCCTTAATTTTAGCTATCTCTCCCTTTATTCCTTTCTACAACCCCCTCTCCTCTTCCCCTCCCCATGTGATCCTCTCACTCCAGCCTCCCATCCATAACTCTCGATGCTATTTCCCTTTCCTAATGAGTATATTCTCTCTAGTCCCTTGCTCTATCCCTACCATCTGTGGGCCTACAGATTAAGAATTTAGTTTGATTCTGTCATAGCTTGGCTAGGATTAACTTCACATATAATATCCACATATAAGCAAATGCATACCATATTCATTTTCCTGAGTCTGAGATACCTCACTCAGTGATTTTTTTCGGGTTCCATCCATTTGCCTGAAAATTCCATTATGTCTTTTTTTTAACTCCTGAGTTCATAATTTCATTCTCTATCTCTATCTCTATCTCTCTCTCCAGAATTATTTCAGTTTATTCTTGAATTTGTTGTCTGTGCTTTGGGGACCATATCTTAAAAGTTACTGCCCAGGCCACTCTCCAAGAGCTCTCCTCATATTTTCTTCTAGTACTTTGATAGTTTCAAATCTTGTGTTTAGCTCTTTAATCCACTCTGAGTTGATTTTTGGATATTGTATGAGACATCAGTCTAACCCCTTTGTTCTTCTGCATGTGGACAAGATGGTACATTTCTGGTAAACCTTTGGTACATGATGCTGACCAGTCTAGGAGCTATGTGTAAAGTAGCAAGGATGTAGATGATCTGTCACATCACTACTATGACTAGCACATGAAAAATAGGGGCTATGTTTCTTCCTTTCATTGTCTTCTTTGGAGAGTTTGTGGGGAAAGGGAACTCCAACCAACCTCTGCTACTTATATCAGGAAACAAGAAGTGGATGATGTTAGAATTTAGACATCACTGGGCCCACAAATTGAACAATTTGATATATTCCAATAGAGTTCTTCTTTGTGTAAAAACCAAATAAGGCTTCATATCTAGTAATTAGCAGATTCGTTCAGTTCGACCACATCAGCAAGAAGGAAGAGTCAGGTGACTTCTCCCAATGTAATGGCACTATCATGAGTGCAGCAGGATGAACAGATGCTATATCCCAAACTGGAAGTAAACTCCTTTACCAGGCATGGTGCCAAGTGTGGCCCACACAGTTCTTGCAACAAAACTACATGGACCACTTTTTAAAAAAAAAAACATACAGACCTACCCTAGCACACAAAATCAGAATCTCTAAGAAAGGTGCAATAAACCTAGAATTTTCTTATAGGAGTTGATGTTCATAGTCAGTATTCTCAAGAATGTGTGTAATTCTAGCCTGACAAATTTATGCTGTTGTGAAGGAGACTGGGAAAATAATAATGTTCAAACAATATTTATTATTTTATCCAATGGAAAAGAATATGGGCTGATTATACTTTAAGTTATAGACACCATAATTATTGTCAGTCACTACCCTAAAATAAAAAACAAACACAACTCTACAATTCAAATTTTCCTCAGGGACTTGAATTACAATTATGATAAATTTTTTAAAAAAAAAGAGAAAGTTTATGGTAATGGAAGAAAATTGTACTAATGTGTGTCATATCATGTCAGGACAATACTGAATACTACCAGCTCTTTTAAATAGGGGGCCATGGATTTTTAAAATCATTTTTATCTTTTGCTTTTAAGGAACACTCAGCTGAAAACCCTCCTGGCCGTTGGAGGCTGGGACTTTGGACCTGCCCCGTAAGTTCTCTCTAGAAAGCCACTTTTTCGTTCACTGAACGGAAAGCAAGCAAGCCCAGCATAGCATCTATTGCAGTCCTTCACAACGTCCGAGAAGCTGCTGAAGGGATCCATGAGTGAACTGTTAACTCTGTCCACTGACTGGAACCTTACCTCTAAGCAGAACATATTGAAAAGATCACTATGACATCAAATGGTCAAATTCAAGTGGGTATTCAAATACAGCATCCTTTGAGCATTAATTACCTGCTCCCAGAGTGCATCTACCTAAGGTATTTCAGGGTCACAGTGGCTCAGGAAGGTCTTGTACAACTTCTTTGTCTGTTGGAGAAGGGAAATCAAAAGTCTACTCATAAATAAGACTCTTAGAGAGCACATGAACTTGGAGGGTATTTGAAGACAACACGGTAAGTTGTCATGGCTGGCTATCCAAAGAAACAAAGATAATTTGGGGAACTCTCCAGAGGCTGCCCGACAATGGAAATAAAAGGGATAACAACACAGAGGGGATGCTGAGTCCTGAGGCTGACAAGAGTAGTGATTGCAAAGGGATGCTGGGACAAAAAGAGGAGCAAGCGTTCATCAGATTGAGGCATCCTAGTGAAGGGCTCAGAGGTAGACTTTGGGCTGTAAAGTGTTTTTATTCTGATGTGTTAATGTCGGAGAGGCCTTACCCTGCCTTCTTTTGGACTCTCTCAGGTTCAGTGCCATGGTCTCCACTCCTCACAACCGCCAGACTTTCATTAACTCAGCCATCAAATTCCTGCGCCAGTATGGGTTTGACGGGCTGAACCTGGACTGGCAGTTCCCTGGGTCTCATGGGAGCCCTACTAAGGACAAGCATCTCTTCACTGTCCTCGTGCAGGTAGGGAAGCAGGAAAAGCATGAGTGTCTTCAGCTCTAAAAGATTGAACGTCTGTTCTTTCCAAGGATAACTGGGTGGTTACAGAGTAAAACCAAACTCAACTGAATTTAGAAGTACAGAATCTTAGCATTATGAAGACCAGGCTGTATTACATACCCCTTCCACAATTACATTCCAGATATCTCATATTGTTTTAGGAATGATGGTTCAGATTCACATTTGAGGATACCATACATCTTCTCCCAAATCCACCTCTGATTTCTCTCTCTCTCTCTCTCTCTCTCTCTCTCTCTCTCTCTCTCTCTCTCTCTCTCTCTCTCTCTCTCTCTCTCTCACACACACACACACACACACACACACACACACACACACTTCCAGTTAGAGTTGTCTATGCACCCTTGGTTGTACAGCCACTGACTGGAGCATGCCCCACCTATCAGGGGCCACACCCTTAAAGAAAGTTAACTTTTCCTGGAAATTATCAATTACTAATAATTCCTTCACTAGGAATGAAATTTCTCCATAACCTCCCCACTCTATGCTGGTGTTTTGTCTGGTTGAACTTGCACAGATCTTTGTGTATTAAGTGCTCTATGATAAAAGTACCATGAGTATTATGATCTTTGTTCTACAGATAAGTAACTAAGTATATATCATAACTGCCTGTGTTATCTGACAACAGAATTCAATGCCGCCAGGAATAATTGCATGACACAATCTGTTGTTATTAGAGTAAACCATGCTCTCTAGCACATATTGGATTTAAGCTTCAAATAAGAATAAGGCAAAATCTTTGGCTTCAAAGAACTATGAGGCAGAAGACTGAAACATAACCAGCAATTGCAGACACATGATTATGATAAATGCCATGATAAAGGTCCAGAATACAAAAGAAACCCAGAGAAGTTTGTGTGAAGCAGAATTAGAAAGAGCTTACCCCAGTAAGAACTTCTCAGTCTTAGTCTTGGAAAAACATTGGTGTTCCTCAGTTAGGTCAGAATGGGCAGGCCCCAAATGAAGACATGGAGATCAGTGATCAAATGATTGGGAGAAAGAGTATGAGTTTGCACAAGTAACAAGCATCTGACCGTGTGGGTCCTTAGCTGAATGATCAGGAATTCTCCCTCGAGATAATTGGGAATGCTGAGAAGGACTGTACACAGTAGAGAAATATGACCAAACGTTTGGGTCTGACTTACTGTTCGGACATTAACCACAGACAAGTAGAGTCGTCAAGCCAAGCAAGTTCCAATGGAAGATACCGGCGTCAGAGGAAAGCAGCGCTTCTACGCTGGGGAAGGAGGGCATGTACGAAGAGACGTTCAAGGATAGACGTCAGTAGGACCTGGGGATAATTTCTAGTAGAAAATATAGAAGATCCCCAGTTTTCTGCCTTAAAGGACTGTATGGGCATAAATGGGTTAGTTAAGATAGTAAATGCAGTGAAAGAGTAGGTTTAGAGCAGGAGAATTGATTCCTTTACACCCCAACACGGGGACTGTGATGTATCTGAATGGCCAGGATGCATCGGGTGAATGCAAATCCAGAGCTCGTGGGGAAGAACTTGACTTGATGAACTTGTGTTGTCAGCAAGACAGATGATCACCAAGCAAAAACGAATAGATTATGAAATCAAAGATGACAGATGGCTTTTATTTATTCCCATTCTTTACTTCTATTTTCTACTCCTTTGGGGCCTGATCTCTACTACTGTCCTATACCCACAGCGACAGATTATTTCCATATTGTCGGGCAGCCTCTGGAGAGTTTCAACACTAAATAACTCACTGACTCAGTTTACTTTTGTCTGATAGTTCTAATTATCAGACACAGTAATTCCATTATTTTTGTTTGTATTTATTCTTTGGTAATTTCATACATAAATCAGTGTACTTAGCTCATATTCATCACCTCCCCCACCGCTACCCCCTTTCAATTCTTCCCGGACTTCCCTCATCCCACTCCCAACTTCAGGGTTTCTGTTTAAAGAGGCCAATGACCGCTGCTCAGATTTGCGTGTGTGTATGGCGCCATCTGCTGGAGAATAGGCAAACTACCACGGACCAGGCTGAGGAAAATTGATTCTCTTTCCCACTGTAGCCATCTTAGTTACCTAAGGGTAAGAGCCCTTGAGACCCTTCCCTCTCGATAATGAAGTGTTGATTAGCTTGATCTTGTGCCATTCTTGTGGAGACAACCACAACTGTTGTGAATTTGTGGGTACAACAGCCCTATTGTAGCTAGAAGGCATTATTTCTCAGCCATCTCCCCCAACCTCTGGCTCACCCCGTTTTCTCCAGTGTTCCCTGAGCCTTGGGGAAGTGGGGTGTGATCCAGATAGCCTATTGAGAGCAGGACACTCCACCAGCTGCGAGTCTGCATTAACTGTCATTTGATGCATAATGGGAGCTGCACTCGTCTGTGGGCACAAGTTATTTAGGCGGCAGTTCAATACTAGGAACACAGTATTTGCAGGGCCTATGACCCCCCAGCTCACAGGTTGTTGGCCAGACTTACAGTACCAGGCATGAATTCCCCTCCGTGGAGCAGGAATTAAGCTCATTAGAAAGGTGTTCATTGCCTCCATAATATCCATGCCTATATTGCACTAGTTGATATATCTTTTCAGGCCAGTTGTTACTGTAGCTCACACAGGTCACAGCTGGTACAATTTCTGGTGGCTTTTCTTCCCCACCAGCCTTCCAAGTACCTTCTGGCTCCATGAAAGCTAGCCGGGGCAGAGAGGGAGCTTCCAGGTCAGCACCAGATTGACTTTTCTATATCGTTTGATCACAGTGTATGATGTTCTTATCGATAGGCTCTCACCATAAAGTTCGAGTGGGTAACCCACAGCAATGTTAACAGCCTGTGTTGTCCTGGGGGTCTGCGGGACCCCCCGCCCCCCTGGCCAATGACTTGAAGTCTAGTATACCACATCTGGCCCTGGGCTTTTTTTGTTTGGTAACCTATGGCTTCTGGAAGGGGCTTTACACCATCCCCGATGCAGGTAACTCCAATTCAGGTTTTTCAATAAACGTGTTTTAGGAAACTTATAAAATAGTAGGTTTCCCTATGGTTTTGTCAAACATTCTTAGTGTTAGTTATCCTTCCTCTTACCCCTACTGTATTCTACACTAACCTCCCACTCCACACTTAAACCCTCCCCATTGTTCCCTTTTCCCCCTCCAGACTATCTGTTGTCTATTATCCTACCCCCCCCCCTTTAAGCTCTTTCTTCATTCCCTGTACCCCAATGGCCCCTTTCTAGTTTCCTGGCTTCTACAGACTATCTCTATTTTTAATTGAAGCATGCCTCCAGCCCACCACAACAGCACAATATAAAAGCACATGCCTGCAATATATGGGGTTAATATTTCAAGACAGCTCTAACACCCTTCTTATAATGCCTCATTGTCGAGTAAAATGTCCTAGTCACTCAGCCACTTGCACACACGGCAATTTCTGTGAGCATTCTGTTGGAAGATGACCTGGCACTCGGAAATAAGGCAATTGTAAGAGCTGACCCCAGTGCTTCATGTAAGATTAAAGTCACATAATGAAGAGGTAGATTACCATCTGGCACTGACTAGCTGTCACTCAGTCATTACCACCTCTCCCTTAAGCAGCTTTGCATTTCATTCAACGAGATGTTGGTCCCCTGACATACTTCAGCTACTGAAAAAGGAGAACACTTTCTCTACCACTGAAAGCTCCATTTAGGGAACCGCAGCAAGGGAGGCTTTGAAACGTGGTGGTGGTGGTGGCAAAGCTCTCAGTCACCTGGGATCTGGATTTGGGATGACCAACTTTAGGTGGGACATAGTGAAGTTTCTCAAACCCCATGAATATTAAATGACTATTAATACCACCTGTTCTACTGACTGTTGAGATGGTGACAGAATAAGGTAAAACAAAATGTGAAAGGGATTTTTTTAAATATATACTCATGTTATCAGGAGAGCTGAAATGAACTTGTGATATACTTACTGTACTATTTTAATATTCTGTAGGAAATGCATGAAGCTTTTGAATGGGAAGCCTTTGAGAACAATTGCCCCAGGCTGGTGATCACTGCCACAGTAGCTGGTGTCATCACCACCATCCGCTCTGGCTATGAGATCCCCCAACTGTCACAGTAAGTGGTCTACCATATTCTGAAATCTTCATCCTTGGGATGCTTTGCTGCCCATGGACTTTGTTTATAGGCTTTGCAAGGGCGCATTTTCCTGGCATAGGTATGACAAATGACCATCCAAAATTATTTTAAACAGCATCCTTCATCCACAGCTCCCTAGACTACATCCAGGTCATGACCTACAATCTCCATGGCTCCCAAGATGGCTACACTGGAGAAAACAGTCCCCTCTACAAGTCCCTAAATGACACTGGTACCAACACCTTCCTCAATGTGGTAAGACCCTACACAGTTGCAGCCATCAGTTTTCCTGTATCCTGCAGCAGCTTGGTTCCAAATAAACACACAGAGGCATATACTAATTATAAAACTGTTTGGCCTGTGGCTCAGGCTTATCATTAACTAGCTCTTACAACTTCATTCAACCCATTTCTATTCATCTATGTTTTGCCACTTGGCTTCATGGCTTTACCTGTGTTCCATTACATCTTGCTCCCCTGGCAGTGCTCAGCATCTCCTCTAACTCTGCCTTTCTTCTCCTTGTCTCTCTGCTTGGATTCCCTTCCTGGCTCTATTTTGCCTTGCCGTAAGCCATAGCAGCTTCTTTATTAACCAATGGTAACAACACATATTAACAGCATACAGAAAGACCATTCCACAGTACACAGTTGCAAATGCAGACTGGAAATGGTCCAAATTATAAAAGTTTCATCACAAAATTTAAAACATCAAATTTTGAGTATGCAGTATTCTTATATACCTCATTAACTACAACTTCAGGGAAGTATTTTGAAAAGAAAACTGATCAATAACCAACATATAATCTGAGCAGTTAGAACAGGGAACTAACATACCCCAGCACAGGTCACCAGCTACCTAAGGCCTATAGCTAACATGCTGCCACTACAGGATTACATCATGACCTACTGGATTGAAAATGGAGCCGCTCCTGAGAAGCTCATTGTGGGATTCCCAGCATATGGACAAACCTTCACTCTGAGTGACCCCTCCAACACTGCAATTGGCACCCCTACTGCTAGTGCTGGTGTCCTAGGGCCCTATACAGAGGAGTCTGGCATCTGGGCCTATTATGAGGTCAGTACATTGTCTGTACAGTGCTCTGTGAATATCAGGCCCGGAGCTGTGCTGTTGTTGCCCAGGAGTTGAGGGATAGAAATCTACTGAATTTGAATGTTCATTCTGTCCAGTGTCTGCTCTAAGCTCTAAGCGGAGTATCATTCTAAATGCTTGAAAGTTTTGTATTTATAGTCTATATTTAATAAAATGAGGAGTAGGTAACAATATATAATATCCCTTCATGCAACAGACAGCATTCTAAAGTCTGTTTATATGGATAAAGGAGTAAATGAATGTATGTCCCATATTACTACAGTTCTAAAAATCCAACCCTAAAATATGGACAGTAAATGAGCATTTGAAAAATAGCATGAGCTGAGGGTGTTACTCAGTGGTCTAGCTCTTGCCTTAATTAGTATGGCCTTGGGTTCAATTTCTAGTACCATATACACTTTTAAAAAATGTATCAGCCGGGCGGTGGTGGCGCACGCCTTTAATCCCAGCACTCGGGAGGCAGAGCCAGGTGGATCTCTGTGAGTTCGAGGCCAGCCTGGACTACCAAGTGAGTTCCAGGAAAGGCGCAAAGCTACACAGAGAAACCCTGTCTCGAAAAACCAAAAAAAAAAAAATGTATCATAGTGTACAATGATACATCATGAATATTTCTGTCCAGTATGGTGCTATATATATAAAGCTGTAATATCAGCTTTCAGAATGCAGAGGTAAAGGAGTCAACAGTTTGAAGTCTGCTATAGACTGAGACTCTATAACAAAAACAAGTAAGTAATAAAAAAAATGGGCTGTGGATGAGGCTCAGTTGCAGAGTACTTATGTAGCATGAGCAAGGCCATGACTTTCATCCCCAAAACCACCAAAAGAAAAATACCTCAAACTTCTTAACTCCAAATAAAATCCACTAGAAAACTAAGGAAAACCCCCACTAGACACATATATTAAAGGAAGAAAAAAATGAAGTCTACCTTTTTCTCTTGCATGACATAATATTTAAAATATTTTTGTCTCTTGGCTTTTAAAGATTTGCACCTTCCTTAACGATGGAGCCACTGAGGCCTGGGATGCTGCTCAGGAAGTGCCCTATGCTTATCAGGGCAACAAATGGGTTGGCTATGATAATGTTAAAAGCTTTTATATCAAGGTAAAGTCAGTCCTATGGACGTTCTGAAGCCCCAACCCTGAACTTCAAGAAATCAAACAACTATTGTTATCCTCTATCCTTCAACAGGCCAAATGGCTTACACAGAACAACCTGGGAGGTGCCATGCTATGGACCCTTGACATGGATGACTTCACTGGTGCTTTCTGCAATCAGGGACAGTTCCCTCTGACCTCTGCCCTGAAGAATGCTCTCAGAGTGTACAGTACAAGTATGTAACACCAGGGACATGCCAAGGGTATGCAAATATCCCTCCATCAGCTCGAGGGAAGCCTTGACATGCCTATATCCGTTGCCCATGGAGACTCTTCCCACTTCATCCCACTGCTCTTGCCCAAGTGACAGTCACTGAGCTTTTACAAACCCTCAACTTCCATGCCGGGGATGGTATACCTTTTGGGCAAACCAAGAATACCTAGAAGCAGGGTCCAAGTCTGATAAATCTTTGGAGTGTGCAACAATCTACAGAAATTGTGCTGAGCATCACTATAAGCATCTATGTCTCTATGGGGCTGTTCTTCAATGTCTCACTTACCCCTCTCTGGGGAGATTTATCAGGAAGGCTCAATAGTACTCTCACGTTGCTAGGCAGATTGTTTTTTATATTGGAGCATATTTTTACCTGGATCTTAAAAACTTTTTACTTTACATAGTAGGTACATCCGCAAGTATGTTTTAATGAGTTAAATGGAGAAAAAATACTTTTTTCATTTGTAAGCAAAGTTTTCCTGTCCTAGCTACCCAGTCCCAAATAAACACAGAGAGGCTTATATTATTTACAAATGCTCAGCCAATAGCTCAGACTTGTTACTAGCTAACTCTTACATTTAAATTAACTCATTTCTATTCATCTATGTATTGCCACTTGGCTCGTGGCTTTACCTGTCCTCTAGCATGTCTTGCTTCCTAGGAAGTTGGCTGGCATCTCTCTGACTCTGCCCTCCTTCTTCCCATCATTCTCAGTTTGGCTTTCCTGCCTAACTTACTGCCCAGCTACCAGCGTGTCAGGTTTTTATTAACCAATGAGAATAATACACATTCACAGTGTACAGGATTATTCCACAGCATTCATTCCAAGTCCAGATGGCTTTGAGGCAAGATAGGAAGACAGGGAAATGTGTGAGGACTTGGGTTGATATAACTTCTTAAATCTTGAGCATAGAATTATCCTCTGATCTAACCCCTGGTCAAGGCCACCATGTCCATACTTCTTTTCACCTCCAGCAGAAGCCTGCCTTCTCGTGAGGGTCCCTCCTCATCACTTTGTGCTGTGTTTCTCAGGTTGTACGGCCTCTGTTTCAGATCTTCAGCAAGTAAATGATCCTCTAGAAAGTGGAAGTGGGAGCTGGAAGAGAGGCTCTGAGGCAGTAGATTCTGTGTCACCCATGCCAAGAGAATAATCAAAATGCCTTCTGGCACTTCCCAAGTGGAATCTCATCCCAGCACAATTTCCAAATGGACCTTCTACTCAAATAACCTGTTATGAAAAAACTAGTCATGAACTTGTCCCTGTCAGCTTTTCCCAGTGTGCTGAAGTCTTCTTTGAGCTTTATAAAAGTCGTCTTGAATCTACCTAAAGTACCAAAACAAAATCAACAGTCAAAACATGAGTTCCCTGGGGGTTTCTTGTGATTGGGTGGACGCCTTTGCTCAATGTGGAAATACCAGCTGCTTCGGGTGAAAGGTGGAAAGACTGTGTGAGAATGGAGTGGAGCCATCAACCTACAGTCTTCCGTCTGCCTGTGTACATCTGCATGCTGGCTGAGACTGTGAGAGGGAGATGGCTAAACTGTTGGTGCACAGGACAAGATGAGGACATTTACAGGGACGGTCTGTAGCATCATGACCACTTTCAGGAAGGAGCTGCAGTGACTCCTGGACTCACTAGCATAAGCAGCACAGCTCGTCTTGTCCAAGATTGGAAGCTCAGCACATCATTCTACTTCTGCTGAAGGTCCAGTGTTGCTCCAGTGTTTCCAGGATTGATAACTGTGGACTCATCATGGAGGGGCAGTGGATACATCATGGGGTATCTGCCCAGAATATGAGCTAGCAGGATCTTAAAAAAAATGTACTGTACTTAAAACCATAGTAGTAGCTGCCAGCTGCTGTCACCCCTCACATGGTTGTCTGATTAGCTGGTCATTAGACTCAGTGGAGCAGATTAGATTATCACTTCCTGGAATTCACAACTGAAAACAAGGACTGTTGGTCTGTCTGTCACTAAAGAGTGGCAGAATGTAAGCTCAGGAGCTGCAGAGGACTGAGAAGAGAAAGTTACTCTAAATGCCAAAGCTAGAATGTAGGATCTAGTGAGAGCACTTACCAATAGCTTCACAGCTCCTGATTCTAGCTCCTTTATGAAGCCAGATGCATTTGTGCCTTTAGAGTCTATAAGACTCCCTTTTAACTATACACTTCTTGTTTGTTCCTTAAAGCACTCAAGTGTGTTTCTCTTACTTACAATTAAAAAAATGTTCTCATGTAATAAGAATATAATGGCTCTGTTTTTCTCCAGAACCCACTTTAGACTCACTTTATGTATCAAATTATTTTGGTTTTGTTTCTTGCCTTTTAGAATAGGTCTCCCTGTATAACCCAGACCAGTCTCAATATCCTGGGCTCAGTGATCCTCCTGCCTAAACCTCTGGGGCAGTTGTGACTACAAGCAGATGCCACCACATCCAGCTCAAACTCTAAGTATTGAACATACATTTTCTTACTTAGTCCTCACACAAACCTCATAAGACAGATACTACTACTTCCTGGGAGAAGTGGCCTGGAGAAACTTGGTTCCTTGCAAAACCAGAGCCAGAGCCAGGCAACCACAGCTCGGACCCTTCTCTACTGTTTTACTCCATCTCCTGACACCAAACACGGAGATCTCATGAGAGATGATAGCACTGGCAACTGGCAGACAGTCCTCCCCCTGGGGAATAACCAGTCACCGCAAACTCCAAGCGCTTTCTACTACACGCCAGATGCCCCCCTCAGTGTGAAAGGCAGAGTGGTTGTGTTGAACAATAAATAAAAGAAGGAAATGAACAAGGTGAAAGCTTGTTTAAAAGTACCCAGTGAATGACAATACTTTGGTTTGTCCAGTCCCAGACAAGGATTCTTGTGGGACGATCTTAGCCAAAGCCAAAGGCAGCCAACAATTTTCTCATCTGGGAAGTTTCTCAGGCAGAGTTATGGCGAGGACAAGCTCCTCTTGGTAGAAATGAACAAGGCATGTTAACATATACCAGAGCTGAAGGGAATTAGCCCAGGATCCTGTTGTTGATCATTGGTAGAGTTACTACTCAAATCAGGCTTTCCAGCAGCCTTTATATGACAATGCTGATTTGCAGAAAGCAATGTCACAAAGGGGAACTTCTAGAGCAGAGCTGTTGCTTAGCAGCCAGTCTTGAGAGCACCCCTCATTTTCTTGCTTAAAAACATCGAGAGAGTGGTGTCTCATGCAAACAAATGAGCCCAGGCTTCCTGAAAGTTCCCATGCACTACAGTTATGGCCCAAATCTCTCGAGACATCTGGAAACCCTAAGACAGAAGACCTGCCTGACAAGACCAAAGACAATGAATTCACACAACAGAGCAACCATCCAGTCTTTTGGAATTTCCATCAAGGTAATGACGCTCTCAGACTCATATATACATATACATATATATATATATATATATATAATGTTTATTATATAATTATATTATATATATTATATATATATTATATATATAATAAATCCCTTTGTGGTAGGAGATAAATTTTGAAAAGACAGGCTAGAGATCACATGAGGATGGCAGGAGGAACCTGGTCCTAGGTGGGAAGGAGAAGCCTCTGCCTACTATGCCAAAAGCCTTGGCAAATTCCCCAAGCAGAAAAAGCAGAACAGAAGTACCCCTGGAGCCAGCTGGTGCCCTGAACACAGAGTGGTAGACTAGAAATGAGTTTCCAGCTCTGCATTAACAAGTTATACTCACTCTGCACGATCTGCCCCTGTGGAGACTCCTACAATCTCCTGGCAGCCCCTGGAGGAAAGACATGACTCCTGCCATACTCCATAGGGCTTCAGAGTTTCAGTAGCTCCCACAAGATCATGAAGCTAGGAAACACAAGCCAGTACTTAGTGCACACCAGTTGGAGAGACTTCAGAGCCCAAGTAGTTCACTTGCTACTACTGAATGGCAAAGTCTGACACTTAAGAAAGTCTAAAAGGGAGGACTTAGGAAGTCTGTTTCTTCTCCTCTGTCCACTTTCTCTGGACACCTGAAGCAGTATTTTTACTCCCCAGATCAGAGGTCCCTAACCTTGTTCAGATCTAAGGCCTACTTTGGGTGACAAATCATTTCATGATGTTCACTTCCTTGTTCTGTTGTTAAATTAATCAGTAACACATTACACAATTTCATAAGCTCATATATAATGCCCTAATTTTAGTTTTAAAAAGAAAACTGAATTCTGGTAATAGGTCATGTATACCAGCAAAGAGATGCTCAACCATAACTACTTTAAAAGACAGTGAGGTTGAATTCTTGCACCATGTATTTTACAATAAATAAAATTAGGATTAAGAAGATCATGCCAGGCAGTGGTGGTGCACGCCTTTAATCCCAGCACTCAGGAGGTAGGGCCAGGTGGATCTCTGTGAGTTCAGGCCAGCCTGGGCTACCAAGTGAGTTCCCAGAAAGGCGCAAAGCTGCACAGGGAAACCTTGTCTCAAAAAAAAAAAAAAAAAGATCAAATTTTATCTCATATGAGCATTAGAGAGGATTTACAATTGGACGCCAAACAAAACAAAAGAAAAAAAAGAAAGAAAAAAACAGTGTTAATAAAATTAACACCAGGTATGTTGGTGCACACCTTTAATTCTAGGTCTCGGGAGGCACAGACAGACAGATCTCTGAATTTGAGGCCTGCCTGATACACATAACAAGCTCCTGGACAGCCGGGGATACATAAAGAGACCTTGTCTCAAAAAAAGAAAGGAACGAATGAACAAATGAACGAACAAACAAAGGAATGAAGGGAGGAAGACAATACTATCTTACTAGCTTCTGGTAACAGGAAAAGGCAAATAACTACCTGAACATGGGTTACTTGTAGATAAAATCCCTTTATGTCTAAAAAGAGGGATGGGATAGGTCATGAGTGAATTTCAGGGAGTAAACAGTGTTGTTTCATTTACTAGGTTTTCCCTGCGTTCTTTGAAACAAAGTCTCATTATGTAGCTCAGAATCGTCACAAACTCAGTATTCTCTGGCTTCCACCTCCAGACTGCTTGGGTCACAGGTAGTACCAGAACATTTGGCTCAGAGATACTGACATAAATTATTTTATTGGTGTATAGTACATACTGAAAGGGGTCTAAATCAAACATGAAGTGATTGGTGAGCTCACTGGTATAATCAGTACACCAAGATAGAAATTCACTGTCACTCCACAACCTCCTCCACAGGGCCTCTCAGCCTGCCCTGCTGGTCTAGCTGTCCTGACTCCTAACTCATAGATTAGGTTTACTTATTTTGAAATTTCATACAAACTGACTTATGTTATCTTATGAATGTTCATCTATCTGAGTTCCTTCATTCAACCCAGTGAGACTCTATTATTGCCTTGCAAGATTTTCATTTTGTTTTGTGTTACGTACAAATGAGATGGATGCACATGGGCATGTGGGGGTGATACGCATTTGAGGCCACAAGAACACATCAGGAGTCCTCCTCTACCAGACTCCACCTTATTCCCTTGAGAGAAGTTCTCTCAGTGACCCCAGATCTCGACATTTTTAGCTAGGCCAGAGACCAACAAGCCCCAGTGATCCTCTTCTGTCCAGTGCTGGGATTATAGGTATGAGTACCACGCCTGGCTTTTTATAGAAGTGATGGGGATCCAAATTCAGGCCCTCATTCTTGAACAGCAAACATTCCTACCCACTGAGCCATCTCTCCAGCCTCTTTTGTTTAATTTCTGTGATTGTTGAGATGATGATATAATTACATCATTTTCTCCTTCCCTCTCCTCCCTTCAAACATTCCTGTATACTCCTCCTCGCTCTTTCAAATTTATGGCCTCTTTTTTCATTAATTGTTGTTACATTTATATATCAATAGATGTATATACGTATATATTCCTAATTATAACCTGCTCAGTCTGTATAATGCTATTTGCATGTATGTTCTCAGGCCTGAAATTTTGGTATTGAATAACAAGCATGTGTGCTCTTCTTCGGAGGAAACTTTTCTCCCACTCTCAGCATCCCTTAGTTGCCCGTACGTTTTTTGGGTAGGGTGAGGCCTCCTGGGCTTTGCCGGTCCACTTCAGCATGTTTATTGTGTTGTCCTTATTCAGCTCATGTTTCAGCAACTGTGTTTAGACTTTATGGATGCAGTTTCTGGCACGACT